ATATATATATATATATATATATATATATATATATATATATATATATATATATATATATATATATATATATATATATATATAAACTTTCAAAGTGCAAGACAGATTAAAGTGTCATTTTGTAATGCACTTGAAATTTAAGTTAATATTGTTGGAATTAGAAATTGTTGGCTAAAAAATAAACATAGTTATAGCTAGAAATGAATCTAGCTCAAAAAGAAAAAGAAAACAAAGACAAAGAAGAAAACAAAGAAGACAAAGAGGTAATATTTCAATTAAATCAAATCAATATGCTCTATTTACAACTGCACTGTCCTAAATATCAAAGTTCAACTTTTACTTGACACGTATTAATTGTCAACATCAGTTGACAAATGAAACTGTCAACTGATATTGGCAATTAGTTGTCCTCAGATTGATTATTCGGAATACCGAAAGTCAGTGTATACTGGGACTAAAACCTTTTGTTTCTGCACATTACTGTGCAATTCGCTCCCGGGTGGGCTTGAACCACCAACCTTTCGGTTAACAGCCGAACGCGCTAACCCATTGCGCCACGGAAGCTCCTGAGAACGAGGCGGCAAATAAAATTCATTAAATGATTAATATAATGAAATTTATTGTTTAAAATTTATCATTAGCTCAAAATGTTTCGTTTTAAATATCTCTAAACAATTAAACAAAGCGTCTCATCCACAAAAAGAATTTGTAAGTGAAGAGAAGAAGGAAGAGGGAGAAAAACAAAGAGTGAGAGAACAAGAGCTGTAAGAACTGAATTGGCGCTTTTGGGATGAATTCTTGCAGCGGCTAAACTTCGTATTTTGTTATTGTTACTTTTCGATGACTGATATTTTATGTACATAACGATAAGCAACGAATTAATCATTTAATTTTAAAGATATCGAAACTTCCAAATTTCTATTCTATCCCTCAATAAGATGCAATATTAAAATCGATGAAAACGAGATATATTTGTCTTGTTTGAATTTGCTATATTTTCCACCGTAATTCAGAATTTTATCATTTCTATGTAAAATAGATAGATAATATCATTGTTAACTTTTTCGATTACATCTCGTGCTATCAGGATATTCTCTGATCTTTTGGACATTTCAACGGGTTTTCACATTTTCGGAGAAATTCACAATATTATGCAATTTCTGCTTCTTCTACATTCGCCTTATTTATCATCTTAAGATTTTCGATCATATTTCTGGATTTCAGATGTTTGATTTGTATGTAGAACATAACTGCGTATTTCTGGGTGGAAATACGTGATTTATTTTTGGGAAACTAAATTCCGGATTACATCGTTGATCATACTTCTGAATTTCAATTATTTGATTTGTATGTAGAACGTGATTCTAGATTAAATTTTTATCCATATTTCTGGGTCTGAAATATGGAATTTGCGTGTGTGTCTTTGAAAAATTAAATTTCGGATTGCATCGTTGATCATATTCCTGCAGTGTCATGGGTTTGAAAATTTTTCATTTGTATGCATTTTTTGACGAATATGCATTATGATTGTGTAATACTGATTCAAATGTTCAACTATTTTTATTTTCATAGAAGCAATTATCAATCCAATAAGCGGTTTGCATTCTTATTGATGTGATAAAAGTAGGGACGACAATCAGTTCGAATTTGATGGACAATGAATTTCAATTGGGCTAATGAATTAGCGAAAAGTGCTCTGAAAACGGCTCAAAAACGTATCGATTCCGTACTTGATATTGCACCGGAAGATGAAGTTAGTTCGTTTCACTTTCTATTATTAGATTCAAATAATGACCGGAAGTTTTTTCTTGGATTTTTATTAAAATTGTGTATTTTTCATATACACATTTGTATTTACTTGTATGTATATAT